AAGCATTTTACTCTTCTGTATCAAACTGGAGAGTTTTAGCTGTTTGCTTTCAATTCTGCTGTTTGTGCACATTGCTGTGTTTATTATTCAGTGCCTTCTGTCCTCTCCCTGCTCCCTGTGCCAATGATTAAGAAGATGCTGATGCTGTTGTTGGCTTTGGCACCTGGAGGTTGGGCTCAGAGCATGCTGTTTGTGTGCARGGAACATCAGTCTGGTGATCAAGCCACTGTGTGGGCACTGGGCCACTGAAAAAAAATTCCTGTTGTCCCATGTTCTCATTTAAAATCCCTACTGAACCTCTAATCTGACAGCAAGAACTGTATAACAAACATGAGGCTTAAATTATGCTTTAATGCTTACTGGGATGGGGTGTTTGAACTGCCCTGACAAATTAAACTATTTTTTTTTAATTGTTAATGATCTATTACAGCATTTCTCTCTTAATTTCTCATTTAAATCCAGAACGGACAGACAGCAATAGGAAATATTTTCTGGCTGGTGGCTCTTTAGTGCTTTGTGAGTTTATTAACACCCAGACCAAAGGGATTCAGGTGCAAAAAGCTGCTCAGGGCAGTTTCCATGCTCAGAGTTGTCACGAAATCACCCTCCATGGGAACAATTCCTCAAGTTCATCCATGAGGGCTTGATGGGATCCTGCAGGATGGGTGTTTGGGGCATGTTGAGCCCCTGTCCCAGTTATCCCAGGCCACTCCTCCCACCCAGCATTGCTCCAGCACGAGTTAGGGCTCAAATAGCAGCTGCAGTGCCAAGGCAAGCCTGAAAGGGGCTTCATGCCAGCACCCTCCCAAAAATGCACACCCAAGGAGAATATTTAGATATTCATGTGTCTGCAGGCAATCCCGAGGCAGCAGGATGGGCAGGGTGGGTTTGGTTGCTGCAGTTGGTGGTGMTGACAGGAATCCCTGCCAAACCCCACCAGGACAGCTGGGGCAGCCCCAGAGCCCTTTGGATACACTATGGATAAATAAAATAGATACCTACAGACAGTATATGTAAATATTATACTCATGTGTATACAAAACAAGGGGGAAAATCTGATCCTTCTCATCTGCCCAAGAAGAAGCCTTTGCTTTGTTTTGGCCAGTAAAAAGAAACAGCAATTGTTCCTTATTTTTGTCTATATTTGGTGTAATCGGATCACTCCACCACTGAAGCTCATTTCCTGCTGCTGGGTGCATCCAGGCTATTATTGAGTATTTATTTTTCCATGGGCGTCTCTGTTTCTAATTACTTTGTGCTGATGTTGTGTGACAATGTCGAGTCTGCACCTCCTTTAATACCTGCCACATGCTGAGTATATTGTAAACAAAACATTTTTTCAGATATTTCCTGCTATTATTTACCTCTTTATTTCTGATCTTACTATTTCTGGATATTTAATGAAGCCATTTGCTGGTGGGGTTATTGGCCAGGAGAGCAAGCAGACAGAAAAACAGGTACATTAAGAAATAACTTTACTAGTGAGGCCTAAAACTGGTGAAATCCTGTGGGGTTTGTTGCTCTTTTTTTAATGAAAGACAGTGAGAATTTTGCTGCAGTAAAACTGATAAAAGACTGGTGGTGCAGAAAAATAATATCTCGGTATGTTCACACATAAATAGCCTGTGTGGTGCTGCTACTGCTGCTCTGGCAACAAGCACTTGTGCTTAAAATCTGTTTTCTTCTTATTTGACAGACATTGGAATTTTACATGTGTGGGATGTCTCATAAACTGATTTTATTTGGAAGACAGCAGTGAAAACATTTTTTGAGACATGAAAACCAGTGAAAGGGGGAAGAATATATTTGATATTTAATTTATATATATTTATAGAACATATTTATGTAAGTATCTTGGCTGTTTCACAGCCTTTTAAGAATTATGGTGCCATTGCCCTCCTGAGCCCTGAGCTGGCAGGTGCTGGGCTGGTCCATCTGCTACCAACCASTGCAATTTGCAACGATTTTGGTGCTTTGCAAAGGATTATTCCTCTTCCCAAATTAAACCTCTGACTTGATGCACCAGGGCTCTCCGCTGGGTGAAGGCAAAGTGGTGCTCCTGGAGAACTCACTCCTGCTGGATTTTGTRTTTATCTTTTCTGGAAATCCTAAAGCAGCCTGAGCATCATCTGAGACTGGGGCGTTTCCCTGGCTGCTGAGTTTGGCAGCAGCTGCTGTCACCTGTGAAGTCCCCATGCTGTGGGTGCATTATTTTTTCCCAACAGCTTCATCCCGTGGCTGACACAGGAGCACATCCCTGCAGTTCTGAGGAGAGCCTGGCCCTCCACTGAGCAGGGCTTTTCTGGGCTCTTGTCCAGCACTAAAGATGGAAAATTCCAACAGTCAGTCCTGTGCGTGGTGAAGCTGTTTGGGATCTTTTAACTTTCAAAACAAACATGAGCAAAACTGGTGATTTTACAGCAGATTCTCTTGGAAAGACAGTTGGCAAAGAAGGTACCTGGCTGAGTTATTCCCTGCCTAAAATCACAGAAATACTGACCTCTGGCTTTTAAAAAAGCTTGCTCCAACTCTAATCTGGATAATTTACATAAATTTACATTTGAACAATAGCAGGTTCTGTTTCCTGCCTGCCACCTGCATCACACCTGGCCACTTCAGCTGCAAAAATACATGAAATTATGGAAGAATCACCATTTTGCTGAGGCATTGCTTGGGGTCAGCYTCTCATTTGCAGACTACTGCTGGTTTTCTCCATGAAACTTTTAACAATCTTACTGTAGAAGCACCTCTTATATTTAAACCCTCTTTTGTGGAGTTTTTCGGTGCCTAACACATACATGCACCATGATCTGATGAAAATCTGCACAGGAGCTGTAACAGCATCCACACTCAGAATGGGAAGCTCAGGGTAAAGCCAGCAGAGCTTGGGCAGCAACACAGGGACAAAACAAARATGCCTAGCTGGATCCAAAGGGACYGTTTACTAAATTTATTAAGTACTCTAGATCCAGTTTTTAYCAGAATTTTGGGTTTTTTTCAACTTTTAATATTTTCAAGCATCGGKAATAGGAATTCCTGCACTCTATCCTCACTGCAGTTAAGCTCAGGGAGCAATACAACCTTCAGAAACAATTTTCCTCCAKACTCAGCATGAAATAAGTTGCTTTGCTTGCAATCCCAGGCCTTGTTTTCCTCTGACTGGTGACAATCTSTATCTGCTAGGCTGTACAACCACACACGTGGCTGTCAGCCTGCTTTGAAAGGAAGGATAACAAGGCAGAGTGATCCCATTAGCTCCGATTTTTGTTCGTGCTTGTTCCATTTAATCAGAACAGGTTTGTTGTGTCAGTGTGGTGYAAAGGATGTATTGTCACATAAAAGCACAGCTCAGAAACACCAGGTGGGGCTGTGTTTTGAAATACAACTGTTAAGTCAGGCCCTTTGCTTAACTTTGTGCAGCAAACAGCTCAGTTTTACAAATACTTGCAGCTTTACCGTGATAAACACAGTATTAACTCCTGATACTGTAAATGGTAGCAGAAGTCTTTGGGATTTTCAGACAAGGAAGAACAAAAACAGCTTTAATTGTTGCTGCAACACTGCCTGTTTTTTCTCCAGCGGAAAATTCCAAGGCAGCACTATCCAGCGCCTGAATTGGGGCAGCATTTGTGCTGTTTTATTTCCTCTGAAGCATAAAAAGTCCAACATACCCTGTCTTGAAGCCAGCCACACACACTGCTCTCTTTTTTTTTTTGCTGCCTCTGAAGCAGCAAAATGAACCAATCCAATGAGACAGACATGGCATAAGTAGCTGTTATTGCACTACTGCTTTTTCTCCTCTCCCTGGGCCAGGAGCAGCTGCTCAAGTGCATTGGAAAATGACAAATGATACCCAAAAGGCTGTTGACAAAATTCATCTTCCCTTCTGTACTTCTCATTTAGATTTAGGGAGCAAAAGTGGGTATCATTTGACTGTAATGCATTGTTTTGTGCTTTGCCAAGTCTCTGAATTACCCGTCTCAGAGGTTTGTCAACAAAAACAATGCAGACATAATTCTAAAAAAATCAGATCGAATAATTTAGTGGGCACACTTCAGCCCGAACTACCAGATTTGCTCCAAGCACAAAATTCAGTATCAGGGTCTAGATGGAGCCATAGGTTTATGATATTGAACAAATATGGCATTAGTTATTCCAGAGTTCACCAACACATCAAACCTGAGTAAATATTCTGATTAATCAAGTGCAGAGGATACTACATGGCACTGAAATGCATCTACATGCAAGTTACTGCAACTGCAGGCTCACATATACCTTCTTTCATAATGAAAACACAAATCTCTCTTGATACCTGAAGAACTAGTTCATACTTAATAGAATTATTTGCTTCAATAAGGAACTCCTCATTTGTACTAGAAAAATAGCCATTTCAAAGAAATAATCCCAGAAACCAAAGAACTGTACAATGTATCATAAAAACAGAAACATCTGTATGGATTTTATGGGATTCAGGCACTGTCAGTATTAAAGGACATCTCACTCCTTCCCTTAAGATGTTTTAGCTGGTTGTTGGCACTCAGATTTATCTTCATCTCCTTACTACCCATCTAATATAAACCTGGCAAGCAAATCTTTGTCATCCTCCTGTTTGACTTATAGCACACAGGAATACCACAACCAATTCGTGAATGAGATAAATCACATACGAAAAAAATACTTATTATTGGTAAGCCTATTTTTAAACTAAAATAACTAGACATAAACTTGTATTAAATATTATGCCATTACCCTCACATAAATCCACAGGAGCTGGTACTTTGAGTCACAACAAGCTCTAGAACTATTTGTACCAATATGATTAAAAATTGATTTAACTGTCCTACACATTTACTGGGCAAAGGACTGTTTTTTCCTACTGGGACTTTCACCAGTGCCAGCTCAACACCTCATTCCTGGCAGTGGAAGAAAACTGCAAATCAAACAATTATCATACCATTTTCTCATTAGAATTTAAGAAAAATACTAGAAAACCAACCATGCTCTGTCCAACAGGGTACAAAATCTTTATTCACCAATAAGTTAAAATGTTCTTATAAATAGATGTTGTAGTCTTTTGTACTCTGTATTGAGCATGAAGCCAAGGTTCAGTTATTCCTCAGACTCTGATCCTTCCTCATCCTGGCTGATCTGGAAGTAGCGCAGCTCGTACGTCTCCTTGTCGGACGCAACAACGCGGAGCCAGTCCCGCAGGTTGTTCTTCTTGAGGTACTTCTTGGTGAGGTATTTCAGGTACCTGAAAACCAGCAATTTCAYGTTAGAATTCTGTTTCTCCCTGAACAACCCTTGCTGCTGTCTGTACTCCACCCAAGACATGGCTCAGCCCCAAGCAGGGTAACACCACAACAGTTACACCTAGAAATAGAAAATTATTGTATTTAACAAGTAATAAAAGCATATTTTCATTACAGATATATAAGACTACACAGTAAAATGCCAGTAACAAGAAAGCAATAAGTGGTTCTAAACCTTCATTTTGAGAACTGGTTCTAAACCTTGGTTGCTACACCAGTAGCAACAAAGGGGGGATGCGGGAAGAATCTGTACCTCTCATCAGTGCACTCACCTTTTGTGTGTCTTAACAAACTAAACAGTTTAGGGCTTCATTTGATTTGAAGGGTTTGTTTGCAACAACCCACACTGTGCATGCATTCATTATAAYACAATCAATTAAGTAATCAAACAGCCATTCATGGCATTAATTCAGTRTAAAGGTCCATCTTCCCTTCATACACTTCTAAGATCCTATATAAAGTATCTCTATTAATACGCTTAGATTCAACATTAATTAGCAATCAAGCATTGACTTTTAAAAAGTGGTTTTTTTAATATCTGATAAAATAAACCTGTTTTAATTACGTGTTTCACTAATATTTACAAGTGCTATGAAGGTTAGAGCTAACACCTCTCCAAGTATCAGAAGTGCATTAATTGAAATTCATTTTGCAGGCAAGAGATGAATATTAATGCCCGTTTAAGGGACACGGTTTATTGGTGGATTTGGCAATGTCATGTTTATGGCTGGACTTCATGATCGTGAWGATCTTATCCAAGCTAAATGACACAGGTTTTCTGTTCAACATCCCACAGTTCAAAACCCTCAAACACAACAGRACACCCACACCAACCTTTTAGAAAACTGCTTCTCAGACGTCACTGTGATCTTGTTCTTTAAGCGTTCAATGTGAACGGTGTTGCTCAAATTTCCAGTTTTCCCATTGACCTTAACCTTCTCCTTTAGGAACTGTTCCTGTTTCAAGATTAAAGAAATASAACACTAGGGAATGGCACCCTAGGTATGAACTAGGGAAGGGACCCTAGTCAGGTAGCAACATTAAAAACCACTCGTTTATGTCCTGACAGAAGTACTAACAGTGCAAAAATATTTTACAGCATATAATTATGAAAAAAATCACCCCATGCTAAAACAGATTTTAATTAAAAGCAGTTCTATTCACAGACAGGTATGAAGCATGCTGTCTGTATGACAMATAAAGCCAAATAATTATTTTCAAATGACAGTGTTTTAAAGAACAGCTGGTGATTTAACTCACTGAGAATGCAGCTTTTCAACTGCAACTCAGTTATTGCACCAAGGCTTCTATTAAAGTATGCGTCACAAGTATGAGCAAAACCACAACTTACAAAATTCCCAGAATCAAAGATTCCATCTTCCACAGGATGCGTAAGGTCAAGGCAAAACTTCCAGGTCGACTTTTTRGATTTTCTATCCTTTTGCTAAAACACCAAACAATTTCCCAGCATTAACAAACAACGCCGTAAAAAAACTTTTACCCGACCCAAGTGGGGACACACACGGCAGCGGGAGCGCCACCTCCTGGCCAGCGCGACTCACTGCAGCCGGCTCGGCTCGGCCTGGCCCGGCCGCCCCCCATATGAATCCTCTCGGGAAAGCCCCGTTCGCACCGGGACAACCACCCCGCAACTCTTCACCCACCCCACAGCTCCCCCGGCCGCTCTCGCTGCCGCTGCCGCTCCCGTTGCACTCACCGGCGCCATGACGCTCCCTCCACGCACTGACACAGAAAGGAAGTAGGGCCGGCCACGCCGCGCTTTTATACCCCCGGCGGTGACGTCAGCGCGCACGGCGGCGCGCGGGGCACGCCGGGAGGYGCCGGCGCTCCCGGGAAGATGGCGGCGCTGGGAATGGAGTCCCGTGTGGAATTTATTAACGTTATCCCCGCGGGGCGGGAGTACCGCGTGGAATTTCCCGGTGTTATCCCCACGGGATGGGACGCAGCCCCACACGCRCCTCCTCCGCCCGTCCCCCTCCCCTGGAAGTGGCAGCAAAGCCCCTTGGCAGCCCCACCGCGCTCCCGTCACTGTAACCAGCACCAGSTCCCCACAGCACTGACACCTTTATTGTTTCTGGAGCAAAACACACACACACACGCACGTACAAATCTTTTCCCCTCCCTGATCGTTTCCATGGCGTTGAGAACAGTAACAGAGCTTCCCAAACAGACACCGGAGCTGCCGCGGCGCTGATTACAGGGTCGGGTTTGAACCCTTCACGGCCATCGCTCCCCGTTCCCCTGCCTTCAGGGGCCGCGGCAGCCGGGTTTGCTTACAACACACAGCACAGGACAAAAAAGGGGTTCTGCGATACAGCAAAGCACAGCAAACATTTCCTTGGAGTTCACAAACCAAGTCACTCTCGGATGCCGAATACAGCAGGGCCACAGTGCAGGTGCTGGGGACCACCATCGCTCCAGGATCCACACCTTCGGTAACATTCCCAGCGGATACTCGAAATATCCTGAACAAGGTCTCTTTATAGCCTGAAGTTTAGTTCTACTGTAACAAACTACATTCTAGTTACTCAACCGGAAAAAAAAAATAGTGGGATTTATTGAATTTTGAATTCTGTGAGACTGACCTGCAGTAACCATAAGAGTTAGAACTGTCAACAAACTTGACTTTGTTACAGATCATGTAAAATTATCTGTATTGTGAAACTACAGACCGTGCACCGTTTCTGGGTACACTTTAGATTAGAAAAACCTGCAAGAGAAACAATGAACTTCAGCTTAAAAAAAAMCAGCCCTGAGAACATGGCTCAACCAGCAAGAGCCCAGTTGAAAAACCACCTTTATAAGCAAAAACTAGAAGGATCTTTTGAAGTCTCAAAGTATTATTTGCSAACATTTGAGGCAGGAGACACTGCAGTCTTTCCAATTGTGTGAAGTAATAAGAGAAACTCAGAAGAACAAGAGCCATAAAAACTGCATTATTTGGAGTGGAAATACCTCTCACCTCCCTGTGTTCACAGGCTTTACTGTAAGCAATTGCCATCAGCTATAAGTTTATGGTTTTGACACAATTTAAGTGTTAAGACAGTAATACAGAACAAATACACCAGTAAGATTTGTTTAAAAGTAAAGCTATGAAAGGAGAACTCCCCTAAGCACTTGGTTATGGATCTTATAAATACGTATTTCTATGGACTATTGATCACAAAGAAAGTTTGTTGCAACGATTCTGACAGGAAACTGAAGCGTCTTGCTTTGGAAAAAAAAAAAAAAGCCTCAAATACATGTTCTAATTTAGAAGCAACTTTTAAMCTTACTGAAACTTGGAAGATTATGCTTTAAGACATGCTTATGTATTACCTATGGGAAACTTCATGCATGATGCTCTGCACTTCCATGGTGTCTGAAGTGCTTCACAAAGACAACTAAGTATATAAGAACAAACCTATAATGAAGTACTTAATCATTTAAATCTTGCAGAACTGAAGGTTGCAGAAGGACATCTGAAAGGCCCGAAGAGGGGTCTTCCAGCAAGCTGGAGGTCATAAAACCTCTATCAGTAGATTGCTGTAGTACCTGAAAACTCCAGTCATGCCAGGACTCCACTTGTAGGAACAGGGCTAAAACCAGCCCTGGTCCCAGAGAGTTTGGTCCAGGCAACTGCTCAGACTGTGGGCCAGTGGCATCAAGTACCTGTCTTCCAACAAGGTTTTAGAGGACAGACAGGCACCTGAAAAAAGCACTACCAGAGCAAGGACAACTTCAAGTCTTGTTGTTTTCAAGCGTATTGGAAGTATTTGTAATATGGTGATAAAACTTGCATTAGTTTGGCATAGCAACCTGTGACCTCCCATGTGACACCACACAGCTCAGCTTCCTGTCAGCACCACCAGCAATGGTTTCAGTCACCTCCAAAGCCAACAAAGCCTGACTGCGAGGAACCAGCTTGATGGAGAGGCAGAAAGGAGCGTAGTGCAGACCAACCTGAACTATTCATCATCCACTTCAGGAAGCATTTCAATCTACAGCTTCTTTTAAATGCAACTTTGCCATTTCARTCAAGGTGCTATTTATAGAGCTCATCCACAACATGTTTTTTGCTAGGCAAGAGCGTGTGGCAGGTCCTGCTTCTGCCAGGTGTCCCAGGTAGCTGTGCTTTATTACCAYAGTGTATTTATTGCTGTCTTTACCTCCACTGGTACTGCTCTTCCTGGCACGGGAAGTCTCTGGAGAATGCATGCTTTTGCCACCTGCATTACACCTCCAAGGCTTGCTAAGCCCTGCCTCAGTGTGTCCAAGAGCAGCTCAGGACAGTTGCCACAAGCCCTTTGGGGACTAGAGAGTACAAACTATGAAGYTGGAAACATTTTAAGTGGTTAAGAGCAGCATGAAGTCCGACTCTGGCTGCCAGTAGTGTGAATTGTGCGTGCTGTCCCGGGCAGCTTCCATGTCATCCTCCATCAGCCACTGAGCATTAAGGCAAGTTCATGAAACAATTTATCAACTGTGAAGAGAGGTCTGAGCCATGGACTAAGGAAGTTTCCCAACTCATGAAGAGTCACCATGTCTTAGAATTCAATGCCTTGAACAGGAGCAGGCTAATTATCCTTCCATAACTATTGCTGTGAAGCCTTGTTAAGCTGCTAAATAGAGGCATGCATGTGTGTGGCTATGACTCAGAACTCACCAGGACAGGAGCCAGCTTTCCTAACTAGGTAGCAAGTTATTTACTTTTTTAGTGAAGCCATGGTTGTTCGGTATCGTCTGTCAAGTTTATGTTTTGAAAATACAATAGTTTTTATTATTTTTTAAAAAGAATCACATGCATTTAGTTTAGGTTCAATGCTACAGTTTGTCCCACTTTCTGAAAAATGTATGGTCCCTGTGCTACAAAAATATGGTCTGAACCTGAAGGTTAAAACCTAAAGCTGGAAGCACTGCAACAGATTCCCATGGAGTTTGTCACCCTTTTATAGTTCAAGATAAATATAATAAAGGAAAGCAATTGAACTGCATTTTTCTATTTTATTTTTCAAGTCTGACAAAGGCCTCGAGTGAAAGTCTATAGCTTTAACATCCATTCTCACCTTTGTGTCCCCTTGACCTATCTATGTCTTATCTACTCAATATTCCAACGGCCTGCCTAAACCACAGGTAGGCTTTTTTTTTTTTTTTTAAACCATTTTCTCATTACAATAAGCCAACAAGTTGGCAAAGAAGAAAACAGAGGTAATACAGTTTAGTTGCACATGGCCACTGGGGCTTGGTCAAGCCAGCTGGCATTTCTGATCACTTGAGTTTCTTGGTCTAAAAGTTGTGATTGGCACCTACAGTTCTGCAAGAGTCCCAATCCACAAAGTACTTAAGCTTTAAAAAAAGGGGGGAAAAAAAGCTACTTTTATTGTCAGTTCTACCTAAAGATGTCAAGAAAAATACTATTTGTGCTCTAGGTCACTTATAATCCTAGATACCTACCAGCTTATCTAAAAGCCCCTGAATACTGTATTTTGTCTGTTCATACAGACAAACACTGTTTTGCTCAAGCAAATAAAAATATATCCACTAGTAACACCTGATTGGTTTCTTAAATCCATAGCTGAAACCCACAGGAATGTTAAAATAGTTACAATTAAGGAATTAAAATCTCAGTGATTTTGAAAATTGCCAGTTAGCCTGCAACACTAATCCAGAATCCAGCACTGCTTTTTAACAATTCAAAAAGGAAATGAGGTTGCTTGTGAAGGCCAGAGCTTTGGTGACAATAAGGACCAAATTTATAGATCTGTGGTTTGTCCAGACCTGAGCAGTTGCCCGAGCCTGGCGATCTTCTTTACTTGCAAGGCTTTATGGCTACAGCACATTCTTCATTCATTGCACTTATGACAGATATCTGGAAGAGAAGATAGAGAGGTGAGCTCTAGCCCAGGCCACAGGAAATACTCCTACAAGTTACAGACTGTCACATTTTAGTATCTATCCCATCTCTTAAGAGTGCTCCAACACAAGTCTCTTTATAAATCTCAAAGAACCAATRCCCACCCTTCACAAAGGCACCCATCTAACCCACAGAGATACAAATGGTCAATATCAGAGTAAGACTTCTTCATTGTATCATCAGCTGGGCTTAAACGTAACTGTTGGTGTYTGCCCTCCCATCTCACCTGCACATCTTCATTGGCATTGAACTTTCCTTCTATTTCTTTGCCGAGATCCCCTTCYGGCAACTTTAGATCCTCACGAACTTCACCACTTTCTGTCAGCAGGGAGAGATACCCATCCTGAATGCCTATCAGCTGCAAAGAGAAGTTCATTTTTAGAAGTCTAACATTAGCAGGCATCAGCAGGTAGTAGCTTAATGTAAGCAGGCGGCAGCAAGCTCTACCTGTTAGAATAATTCTTTAGTACAATTTGCAACAATTAAGAACATTATTTTAAACAAAAGTTTAGTGGGTTGAGAGTTAGGGCAACTGTAGCAAAACCCAGTCAGCTATCAAGACCCAACTGGTTACTTCCCAGTAGGTGGGATATTACAAACCCTATCGGTGTGATTTAGGAAATGTACTGCTTCAGCTTTCTAGTCTGTGTATTAGAAACAATAACTGGAATGGTGTTCACCCAATAGCACTGCTCCTATTAAGAGTACAAAGYACACAACAGTGTATCTATACATTTCTATACCTGCATTTCTACAGTGAGATACTATTRTTTACATTAAGCACTAATGAATAAAAATTAGGGAACATCCACCAAGCCCTGAACCACATTTACARCGTTCTTTTCAGCCTGACCAAAAGCCTGAGCTGAGGGGAATGGCTA